CCGGAACGCGGCGGAACCGCGTTCCGGCACCTTTTTCCGGGCCGGCCGCACCGGAAATAGCCCCTCCCACACCGGAAATAGCCCCTCCCAAATTTTACTTGCATTCCTGTTCTCTAAAGGGGCGGTCCTAGGGTTTGATGAGGGCGTGGCCAGGTTTGAGTTCCGCCACCTTTTCTCCGAGAAAAAAAGCCCTGAATCTAAGCATGAAGAATTTTAAATATATATAGAGAAAAGTAATATCTAATAATAAAACTTCAAGTTAAAATACATAATTATAAAAATATAATTCTTGTCCAAGTATGGTCTTTATGGGTATAATACTCCATGATTTAATGCATAACTAACATAGTAGAGTTTAGAATAATTGAAAAAGAACCAATTTATTTAAACTATTTTGCATGAATTTTTTGTTTTCACAGAAGTCCCCTGCACTTGTCCTTTGTGTATCTCAGACAGAGGTAGCTGTGTAACAGCTTCTGAAGGAATTCAGCTTGCTAAAGAATTAGGAGCCACTTACTTGGAACTGCATAGCCTCAATGATTTTTACATAGGAAAATATTTTGGTGGGGTGGTAAGTATAATATGTTAAGATGCAAACTCTTTTACTTTTTTTCTTTTGAGTTTGCAAAATTCAGATGTTAGTGGGAACAATTGTGAAGCTACATGACACAAAATCAGGGCCCATGCTTTGATCTGATTGGATAAGTCAGTCTTCTGCAAATTGGCATCCTTCAGATACATTTGGATTGAAACTTTCAGAATTCTCAGCCAACATGATTTTTACCGAAAAGTACAATCCTACCTCAGAAGGTCGATAATTTGGGGAGAGCTGATTTAAAATTTTATTACCTCAGTTTATGTATAAACTATTTTTATAACCATAAATTTGGTGATGGAAATGTGATTGGTATTTTTTTCTCAGTACGCTGCAGAATCTTATAGAAAGAGGGAGTGATAGTCATCTGATAGAAGTCAATGCAGACATTCTAGCCATGGTTGTTATATTTAATATTCTAAAATACATTTTTTAAAGAATAGCATGAGGTACTTAAGAATCTAATGACCTGAAGTTACTATTCTAGATCAGTGTTATCACATCATGTGGGGTCTATTGGAAAGACAGCTAATTCATTTCTACTATTAAATTCAGTTGATCATTGATTAAATCAGTATTAGACGTAAATAGAATCACCATTAAATTAATTTGACTTAGATGAGATGCACTGAGGCATGGAATAAATAACATTCACAAATGAATTAGTGTCTTAAAAACATAAACAATAGTTCTCAAATTATTTCTGGGAAATAATATGTGCTGCTACAAGTAGAATCACTAATCTTAATTTGGAAATAAGTTGTTTTTCTCCAATTAATCTGTTTTCAAATATAAACCATTATAATAATAGCAATATCACTTAGACTTATATACTGCTCCATAGTGCTTTACAGCACTCCCTGAGCAGTTTACAATGTCAGCATATTGCCCTCAACAATCTGGGTTCTTATTTTTCCAACTGCGGAAGGATGGAAGATTGAGTCAACCTTGAGTTGGTCAGGATTGAACTCCAGACTGTGGGCAGAGTTTACCTGCAATACTGCATTCTAACCAATATGCCACCAACTTTGTTGATTCAGCTGCTTTAAAAAGGGGCTTCAATGAGTATGAAGCTTTTCACATAAAAAACAGGATAGTCAATAAGCTAGAATAATAAGGAAAGTTATTCTAGATTTATTCCTCAATTTTTTTAAAAAAAGTATGAAGGATCCTCACTTGTAAAGTGTGCTATATTTTTCTGTAAGTACATGATGTCTCTCATTTATAAAAAAAAATTAATTGCAACATTTCTAAGTGCTGGTAAAATAAAAATGAAATGGTTTTTATTGCCACTTTTTAAAATATCTCTCTCTTATAATGTCATATAACTATCATTGCATTTATATCTCACAGAAAAATTCTGTGAAGTAGTAAACACGATTTGTGAAAACTTGTATTCTGAGGATAAGCATATTAATACTCCACTTGCACTAGTTTTGGTGTTATCTTTCCTTACAAGTTGCAATGGTTAATTATTCCTAGTTCTGCCACAAGACTAAATCAATAATAATATGGGTTTAATCACACATGTGAGTTTGGATCATTAACTCTATCTTATATAATTTTTTATATAACTTTTATAACATTATAATTTTATATAAATTTCTTATTTTGTTATGATGAGTTTTTAATATTTTATTATAGTGGTCTTAGAAAGTTGTGTAATTAAATCAGGAAGGAAAAAGTAGACCTTATATCATAAGTCATTCTGCCTATTTGAAAGGTTATGGACGGTCACCTCAGGAACTCTGAACATTTGCTGTTTTGTCTCTTGCTCTCTCAGATGTACAACCTCAATGGCAATTCTAGTTGGGCATTTATGTGATTTCATAGAAAATGAAATTACATGATTTGGTCCAGGTACCAGGATTTTCCCTACATTTTTGCTCAAACATACTTGACACTATGAAAAAGTACTTTATAACCCTTTTAGTACTCTACAGCAGGGGTGTCAAACTGCCAGCCTACAGGCTGGATGCATCACGCCAAAACCATGCCGACCCCTTTGCCGGCAATGGGAAAAAAGTCGTGATACGTCACGACACATCATGTGATGTCGCGAGTTTGACACCCGTGCTCTATAGTCAGCTGCATTTTTGTAACAAATATATAATCTTGTTACATTACTTTCTGCTGGCTTTAGTGAGAATTAAACAGTTTTTAAGCAGGATTGCGAACTATTTATATTCAGAATATTTATACAGGAAAGTTTAGATTAACAACAACAGTAATAATTAGAAATACTTGGGTGACACTGATCAACTGCATCTTCTTGAATGAGTTTGATTATGAAATTTAGTGATATGTGTTTTGTTTGATTTTAGCTGGAATATTTTATGATACAAAGCTTGAATCAGAAATCATCTGAAAAAATGAAGAAAAGGAAGAAAAGCCATAAATGTCATGGAGTTAAGCCACCTCAGCTTGATCAGCCAGGTGCCTTCCAATGTCTGTTGCAGTGGATTGTATAATATTACTTACAGAGCTCATGAAATTAGAATTTAAAATTGTATTTCCTAATGGAATCTCCACCCTTTCTGGGCCAGGGATAGGGTGTCATGGACAAGGCAGCATTACAAAATGACTTTCATGAGAGGAGCTCATTCTTAAAATGATTGCAGTCATGAATATAATTTCTCATAAAATATCTCATTCTCAGAAACAATAAGTTGTAAGTTGAGACTACCAGTAGAGTTAGTCCTTGCCTTCTTTTTTTCTTGAAGATGGATAGGAGTGCGTTAAAACAAAATACTGGTCTCTAGTCATATACCAACTTTATGGTTTATGATTCCATAAGAATTCAAAAGAAAAAATGGTAACAAGATGGAAACTAGAACATCCATTTGAATGTTTTTTTTAAAATAATAATAGTATTGTCCAGAGTTTTTATCAGTGTGTGGATACTTGTGTCTGGATATGGGCATGTTTTCCATCAATTACATAGGGCATAATATTCTCTGATTATATAAAATACAGGAAGAAGTTGATGTAGAATTATCAGTCCAGATAATTCTGACAGAAATTTAGTATGATGTAAAGTATCGCCGAATTATGAGCAGATAATTATTATTTTATGTTCCATTCCCCAATGTAAATTGGACATCTCAAAATGTTTTTTATTTTTTTAGGATAAACATAGAGTGTCTGATTACAAAATTGCAAAACAATAAATTGGTATCGTAATATAGATGTCATTTTCTGTTCACTCATCTCAGTTTTAAAGAATTTAGTATAGGCAGTTGCCAGAACTGACTTGAAGAGTTTGATTTGAAGGTCTATGGAGATTCTCGGTCACCCAAGTCAAGGTTGTCCCAAAGGTGCTTTTTCAAAAAGAAACTGGAGTTTGTTTTTCCTTGAAGACGTTTTGCTTCTCATCCAAGAAGGAAGAAAGAAGGATGAGAACCAAAACATCTTCAAGGAAAAACAAAGTCTAATTCCCTTTTGAAAAAGTACCTTTGGGACGATTGACCTGAAGGCACGAAGACTGACTTGAAGGCACCAAAGAAAAGGAGATATTATCTGATTTTAATGTCCAAAGTCTTATATAGAATGGGATTGGTGCAAAGAAGTGGGCTTAGATTTTTCCTTTCATACAGGATTGAGCAACCCTTTTGTGCCTGATAACAGCATAGATTATAGTGGGTGAAATAATGAGGCAAACTGAGCAGAGTCATGTCACATACATGGGAGAGTCAGGAGTTATTTTTTTCCTAGGATTTGGAGGAAAGAAGTATGTTTATGCAAGTATGTTTAGTATGTTAATCCTAAGCCTATTTTAGGGCTGACAATGACAGCTCTGCCGACAGAGAAGTTTCTGAAAGTTGCAGAAAAAGGGGGTGAGAATTATATTGCCCTGGTGCTCAACCTCCATTCATGATTTCAGTTTATCAACTGCCTCTTTTTCATGTGAATAACGGTGGCAACTTTAGTTTTTTCTTCTTCTCCAGATAGCATCTTAGCTCTTTTTATTTTAAGAACTGTTAGTATTCTTAAAACTGTTAGAAGGTATTCAGTCAGAAAAAAATAAAACCTTGAGCAACTGTGCTGCCTTTGTAAATTAAATGGTCTTTAATTCAGCAAAAATGTCTGCCGCGTTATTCGGAGTACAAACACTCTTTGTACTCTGAATATAATACCAATATGAAAAACTAGATTTGAAATGTAATTGTTGCATATGAAGTGAAATTATGTTCTTAATAGCAAATTGAACTATATGGTGCAGTTTTGTGCTGGAAATGCTTTTTAATGCTATTGCCTATGAGGATTTAACTTCTGGGTAAAGGTCTTCAAGATTTCGGGATAAATGTAGTTGGAGCAAAAATGTATAATAAGCTACCAGTGTCTGGGCAACAGCTCCACATAGCTTGCCAAATGCTCTAGTAGCTAATGGCTTTTTTCCCCAACTTTTCTCTGCCGCTATTTCCATCTTCCCTCACATTAATTATAATTTTAGTCTGATGCTGGACAACCAATTCTTTTATAGAGTTCTTTTCTGGTCAAATTGATATTTTTTTTGCTTCAGTTATTACATTTTTATCTAGTAACTTTAAAAGTAGTCTAAGAACATGTCTTTATTATAATAAACCATTAATTCAAATATTATGAAATAATTCACAGTTCTTCCATATTTGAAATTATTATGAAATTCGTTGAAATAACATTTCATATTATGAAATGCTATTTCAACAAATATGTAGTTCTGTATTTTTATAGCCTGGATATTCCAAGTTTCCTATCTAGCAGCAGAATTGTCTAAAAAATTCCTCATAAAGCTCTTTTTTATGAGACAAACTAAGTTCTGTAGCATACAGCCACATTTTAACTTAGTGTTTATATGAAATCAGCCAGTCTGGTGAGTTTTAGTTTCTCCTGCAAATATGTAAAATGAGAAGGTGGACAAATGATAAAAGCAGTCACCCTGTTCCAAGACAAGACAAATCATGTGGATTATCATATTTTAGGTAAGGATAGAGTTTTAATTGTGATAATTTTATGAACAATGATTTTATGAACAGTTTATTATTTTTTTTCTAATATATGCTCTCTCTCTCTTTTTTTTTTTTTAGAAAAAATGCCTATCTTAAAAGGCGAAACTTCACATTATGACTCTGATTTACATAACTTGTTGTTCTGCTGCCAGTGTGTTGATGTGATATTTTACTCTGAAGACTTGAAGGAGGTAGCAAAAGCACACAGGATTGTTTTATGCTCTATTAGCCATGTCTTCATGTTGCTTTTTAATGTGAAGAACCCAACTGACATTCAGGATTCTTCTATCATTAGAACTACTCAGTCTCTCTTTGCAGCCACTCAGGAAACTCTGTTTCCCATATTAAAACATGGCACATCATGTGGTTCACCAGTAAGAGTCATTGTTAAGGACTCATTCTTCTGCTCTTGTTTGACAGATATTCTGCACTTCATTTATTCAGGTATCCTCTCACAATAGTTCCAGCTGTTTATTGTCTGTTAACAAGGAAGAGGTTACTTACTGCAAGGAAACTACATATTATTTTATTAATATTGAAGCCTATGTATTTTGAGTTAGGGTATACCTTGGCAATATCACTTCAGAGTACAAGTGGAGACATGTGTGCCTAGTCCATCAAACTATTCCAGAGAAGTCCATTTTAAAAAAGAAATCGTAGATATGCTGTGCCGTGATATTCTTATAAAAAGGCTCCTTTACCATAGGGTTGCTTCTGTAAGCACATGAATTGCCCACCAACGTCCACTTACGTGCTTATTAGATTTATTCCCTAAGTGGATAGCCCATGTTTTCCAATAGATCTGTGTATGCATCAGAAGACGAGTATGGGAATGTAAAAGAATTTGATATTGAAGATACCTGGATACACACGTGAGGATAAGTTTTTTCAATGTAAGTTGCTTCAGAACAAAAATGTTCTCTACTGCCAAATCCAGAAAGGAGATTTATAACCATGTAGGACCCCAGCCATCTGAATGCCGGTCATATTATAGAGAACTTTCAGCAGACTTTGAAGAATATCACATAGTATTTTCTATTTTCTTTGATCATTTAAAAGTCAGCAGGCAACCCATGACCCGTTGGGTCATCATAGCAGTATTTCCTTACCAGATTCCTCAATGCCTTCAACAATGGTAGATGTTCTAATGTATTGAAAAGTTCTTATAAATTCAGAGAGCTATTCAGAGATGCATCTGCCTTGAAAGTTACATGTTGAACTGTATAGCATAATCAAACATATAATTGCTGTGTCTGAAAAAATGATGGCAGTGTGGCAGTGCCCTCTGACACAATATGGGTGAATGGATAAAATTTGCCTTTTATTAGATTTGGTGAAAGACAATGCAGTGGAATCTATAAAAGTTAAGTACTGTTTGCAACCGAGCTACAATCTTTAACGGAGACGTACGCACATCATATTGCTAATAAAGATATCTTGTGCTAAAAGTGATGTCCTGTATGCCATTTTAATAGTATTTGTTTCATATCTTTAGGTGCTTTCCAATGGGACCTATTGGAAGAGCACATTAAAAAGAAACTAAAGAATCCTGGAAATGTTGAGCTTGTTCTTGACAGAGTAAAATGTATCTTGAAAATTCCAGGAAAGGCAAGTTGAAATCTTACCTTTATTATAAGAAAAGATGTAAAGAGATCTATTTTTTATCCCTTAAACAAGAGGCTTATACTTATTTAGAAAAAGCATTAATATTTATAATAAGAAAGCATTGTTAAGATTCTTAAAAGCAAATTAAAAGTTTAGAGATTTGCATAGATCATGGTAAACAGTAGTTTTTAATGGGGAGAAGTATTTGCTTAATAAGGAAAGATCTTTTATTCTGTTTCCTGAATACTGGAACAGAAATATAAATCCATAAAGCTTTTATAAGTGCATTCATGTTAACTTAATGTGAAAAAGAAAGAATATGAATTTTGGAATAACCATCAGTAAGATGTGCCAAAGATTTTGGTATCACTCCTCTTTTTCTCAAATAATTCCAATTTGCTGTGACGTAAGTTGAGACTAATACAAATGGCATCCTCTTTTGTTTATTCCATAAATAGAACAGACACTTTTGATGTATAAGTTAATATATTCTTGTAAATAATAAAACCAATTAAAATAGTATGGACAGAACTATTGATACATTTAACCTAATATTTTGTGGCATACACTTTTGAGGAAATCATGTTATTAATATTAATATATTAGTAACAATATGTTAAGTCAAACATCAAAACTGTCTGTTCTATGGACTATGGCAGTGATGGCGAACCTTTTAGAGACTGAGTGCCCAAACTGCAACCCAAAACCCACTTATGCATCATCGAGTGCCGGGTGGGTGTGGCCCATTGGGTGGGCGTGGCTGCGGTGGTAACAGACTAGGTGGGACTAAAAAGTTCAATCAATTCCAACTTTGCAAGATCTTTTTTTTCCCCTAGAGAAGTTGAAATTGACTGATTGATTGAACTTTTTTTTTTGTACACGGCAGCGGAGGCATAAAGCAAAAAGGTTTTATAAAACCCAGATGAAGGCCTAGGACTGGGGCGACGGCGCACGTGCCCACAGAGAGGGAGCTGAGTGCCGCTTCTGGCACCCGTGCCATAGGTTCGCCACCACTAAACTATGGAATAAAACATAATAGAAAAAAATATGAAAAATGAAATATAAATTTGGTTTGATAAAATACTGACCAAAGTAAGGTGGACTGAGATTGTAAACACGTTTAGTCATTATTACTAAAAATTATAATTTGGTTTGAGAGAGAGAATGAGAATTGTGTTGATTGAAAGAGTGGAAAACTCCAATTAAAGCATAGATATTATAACATTATTAACTAAATTCTTCCCTGTAAGTCAAATACTTCTATATTTTTCATTTTCCAAGGGAGATAGGATTTTGGAAGAATAAGTACATTTTACAGAAACAATATTACTATAGTAAAGACTTTTCTCACAACTGCCTTTCTACAGTTCCTTTGTGTTATCTTTTAGGACTTGGGCTCTGCTTGTTTGTGGTGTACTAAAGCTTTCTATTGTTGGTAATGATTTACACTCTTTTCTTGTCTTGCCTTGCATTTCTCAGCATTAATTATACCCTTCACCAATTGGTCTCAAGCCTGCTTGTAAATTCCATCACTTCAGTTGGTGCCTTTTTTATTACATTTTCCGCCCAGCTCTGTGCTCAGTTTGTTGGCAGCACTCCTTTAAATTCATAGGCTTCATTGAATTTGTTTCATTAGCCTCTTATGTCTGGTAAGAGTCCAGCATTCAATCGGTTTTTTTCAGGGACATCTTTTTATGAAGTTAGATTTCCAATTCCCTGAATTTTCATTTAGGAATATGTACAAACACCTTGCCTGGTAAGCTTCTGCCTACAGCACTCTTTCTCCCTTGGAAGGTTGATTCTTGCAATAGATATTGTATCATAATTGTCCACCGAGGTTGTGCCTCCCATAATTTATAGACAAAAATATGATAATAGAAAAATTATTAAGGAAGTTCTAGAGATCAAGTGCTATAGAAGTGATATTTATAAAACAGTGAAATGGAACAACTTGCCTCCAGAAGTTGTGAATGAAAGTTTTTAAGAAGAGATAGGACAACCATTTGTCTGAAATGGTATAGGGCAGGGGTGTCAAACTTCAGGCCCGCAGACTGGATGCATCATGCCGAAACCGCGCCCATCCAATGCCAGCAATGAAAAAAAAAGTTGCGATATGTTGTGACACGTCACATGACGTTGCGAGTTTGACACCCCTGATATAGGGTTTCCTGCCTAAGCAGAGGGTTAGACTAGAAGACCTTCAAGGTGCCTTCCAACTCTGTTATTTTATTCTAAGGACCAAAGATAAAATTGATTTCAGTTGGTATAATAGCAGTAGCATAGGTAAAAAAAAAATTAAAACTTCAGTTAAAAATCTCTATGTATCTAACCATCTTCTCATTCTACAGGTTAACAGTTCCCAAACTTATAGAACTTATTTTTCAAAAAGACCGCTACATTTATGTAACAGCTCTCTCAGACTTTTCTTTAACACAACGATGTTAGCTGATGTCATGTTCAAAATACAAGGTATGAGATAAAGTATCACCGATTTTTTCATATTTTCTTTAAATAATACAAAATAATGGGAACATATCTCCTGAACCTTTAAGACAACATTTTCTTGACTTAATTAGGAAACAATATCAACATAAAAATGAAAAATTAATCCTTTCCTTTCACTAGAGGACCAGCTGGGTGATCTTGAGCAAGTCAGTGGCTTTCAGTCCTGGGAAGGAAGCAATGGCAAAAACAAAAACCAAAAACCAAAACTACCTTGCCAAGAAAACTGCAGGGACTAAGTCCAGGCAATTGCCAGGAGTCCAACACTGCCTAAAAATTAGTATAAAAAAAATTAAAAATCTTGCAAAGCTGAGTACTTAATTGAAAACCAAAATCTTTTTCCTTGGGTACATATTTTTGCACTACTTTGTTATGTTTCCAATCAGAGACCTGAGGGGAAGGGAACCCTGTGCATTATTACATCTTCATTGGCTTTAGTGATACTTAAACATATTGTAGGCAAAAATTCTGTCTTTAACTGTTTTTGTACATACACATAAATACGAGTAATAAAATGGCTTTTATTGACTTTAAATTATTATTTAATTAAATGATGCTTGGTAAAACAAAAAGTATTAGATTTTCTGAATCTGTGAAATAGCCTTATGTGTCCAAATAAATTATTTTCTAGATATCGCTTTATTATGAAAAGAATCCATAAGCTAAACTGAAAACAAACAGGTCTTTGAAATGCAGCAACATAACTTGGCAATAAAAACAGTTTGCTTTTAAATGTTAATCTTTGGACATTTTGTGTAGGAAGTGGAGGAACAATGGGCGTCATTGCTTGTTTCAAAATTCCAAAGAGAAATAAAGTGATATGAACCAAAGTGCCATGGTTCACAAAAACAATGAAAACAATTATTCATTTGTATGTTAAAGAAATTCCTCTTTAAAGAAATTAAAAAGGGAGTCTCTCTTTTAATATATCTTAAGAATGTGTAGAGAGTAAGGAAGATGATCTTGACAGAAATAGGCAAGAACTGCTATCTAGGCAAATGAAACATTTTTAAGCCCTGAGACACATGATAAAAAGTGATTCAAGCAGACATCTCCCTGACTCACTGGAGTATATAAGAAGTGGGGAGGGGGAGTGAGGGAAGGGTCAGTACAATCAAATTTATAAGATTCTGTTATTATAGTTAATCTCAATAAAGGTAATTTAATCTTTCTATGTAGTTGATTTTCTGGTTTGTTCTACCTTGTGGGGCTGATAGAATGTAGTGCACAAATGAATGAAAACTGCATATTTTTTATGATGACTGAATTGTTGGCAAAAAATATATGTGCTGGCCCATTCCCCCCCTGTATGGCCAGAGTTCTATAGGTGTTTATTCAACCCCTCCCAAACAGGTTCTCAGAAAGCACCCCCGTTGCACAGGTCCAGATTCCAAGCTCAGTATAGCAAGAGTCATTGGGTAACCGAGTCCAATGGGCACACACAAAGTCCAGGAAAGCAGTCCACAAGTCAAACGGGACACATGACATGAGCACACAAGGCATAGAACTGGGCATAACAACATTCAAGTCCTCAGGCAGGATTAAGTAGGCAACACCTCCTCATGAGTAGTCTAGCTCAGTGGTTCTTAACCTTTTTTAATGAATTGCCCCCTTGAACCAATGAGGAAGTTGTCATCGCCCCCCTCTCAATCACAACATAGGAAATAATTCTTCAATTTATGCAAACACTTCTTTTGTTTTCTTTAAAATTGTCATCTGGACATATCGATGCAAATAATTTATTTCCAGTCTTTTTCCCATATCTCAACTGTGTGAAAAATTTTGGTGCCACCCATCACTTTATTCCCAAACTTTTCTTTTGAAAGCCACCTTACTTCACTGTACGAAAAAGTGTCAAAAGTGTCCCCAAAACTTCTTGCTCCATCGCCCCCATATCGCCCCCTTTTTGTTCCTTCGCCCCCACGTCGCCCCTTTTTTGTTCCATTGCCCCTCTGAAAAATGAAATCGCCCCCTGGGGGTGATATCACCCAGGTTAAGAACCACTGGTCTAGCTAACTGGCATTGTACCTGTCTCCTCTCCGCTCTATCTGTCCTTGGATCTGGAGGAGGTGTGGACTCCACCTCCTCATTTCTAACGGGTGGCAGTTGCTCCCAGGCCTGCCTGGAGCCTCCTGGCCAAATTGCTGCAGCTGTGGCTCACCTCAGCCTCAACCTGTCCCATGTCCAATCAACCCAATTGAGGCTGCTCCATCAGGCCAGCATTCTATAAGCCCTGATCTTGACCAGTACTTGGCTCCACACTTTCCTCTGCAGACTCAAACTTGCCCTCTTCCTCTGAACTGACATCTGGAGAGGGGTTTGTGGGTGGGGGTGGATTCATGACAGTATATTAGTTCCAGAACCATTTTAATGATAAGATTCAGCTGAATATGTGAAGGGATAATTGGAAGTACTTTTATGGATATGCAAAATATTGTTCTGTTCTTCATGAATAAATGATGATAGCTCTTAAGTAGTCATTAGCGAGTACCATGCATGAATGTGCTTATAGATAAATACCTTGCCAGAAAATATTGCTGCAGAATAATGCATTAAAAAATAGGAAATGTTAAAAGGTTTTTTTTCTTAACAGTAGATCAAATGTCTAAGTGCTTTTTGGCAACTTCATTTTCAAAGAAATAATCTGCTTAATTGGAGCTTTCCATTACACCTGCAAAATAAATGTCTTTCAGTCTATTCCTTTTAAAGAAAGAGGTAGAATTTGAGTTAGGCATTATTGCTGTGTTAATTAATGGGAATAGACATTTCCAAACCCAATTTGTTTTTGCAATACAGTATAAATCTTGGATCTGAGACACTTGAACAGGAGCAGTATTATTTAGGAATGGATTTTGAACCATAGTATGATTTAGTTTTAAGTATGTTTACTAAAAAAAAATCCACCAAATTGAATAAGAATCACTCAGTTAACATGTAGAAGATATTAATTTCATATATATTAAAGGCAGTTGGAATAGATTCACAAATCAGAATATTTTATGCTAAACAGATGATGGATACAGATTCCATTAAATCTAAATTCCTATATATATATATTTATCTAGGACAAATTGAAACTTACAGTATATGATTTCAGTGTTAATAAAAAAATCCAAAATATCTCCTTGAGATGTTTTAGAAATGTAATACCCAGATTTCCCAGTCAGCATAGCATGGGACTTGCTGGCTTGAAATTTGCAGTCCCAAAATAGCTGGAGTCTATGATATTTGGGAAGGCAATTATATACTACCATAAATCAAGTTTAACCATACATTTATTCTCGTTCTGAGTTGAAGTGTGATGCTTTCCTTGAAATATTGATGCTTGAACAATCTTGTCGTTTATAAATATTTTGCAGCAGAAACATTTATAATTAATTATTAATTATAAATTATAAATTATTATTATTATTTCTTACCATGCCTGACTCACATGGTTCTGTTTTCATCCTATCCTTGTAGGTGCTACAGTACCAGCTCACAAAGCAGTCCTGGTGGCTCGCTGTGAAGTAATGGCTGCTATGTTTAGTGGCAACTATATTGAATCAAACAGTTTCTTGGTTCCAGTTTATGGAATTTCCAAAGATACATTTCTATCTTTTTTAGAGTACCTATACACAGACTCCTGTTGTCCAGGTATGCAAATATTAAATTATAGTGGGCTTCGTTTTAAATAGCATTAAATACTATGATAGCCCAAAAAGGAATTTTGGACTGAAAGTCTTGGCTTTTCAGAGAGCTGCAAATATATTGATTTATCCATTTGGATATAAATAACTTGGAATGTTATGTTGTTATCTTTTATTAAATGATGGTAAAATATCTCAGCAAAATATTAACAACAGTAGTCAGAAACAGATGCTTCTTAAAGCTTGATTCTGTTTATTCTAAAATGAGATTCATAAAAGTCTGAATCAATATTAATTGAAATAAAATTAATGGATTTAAATTTAGTTAATTCAGACAGCTAAATTGAATAAAATAATTTTTTGAATAAAATAGTATGTTGAATAAAATAGTTTTTATACAACCTGTTTTTACATCAAGAAAGACACTTTGTGTTTATTAATTTGCAAGTGACTTGGATATATGTTTTTGGGTGTGAATAGGTGAAAGCAACATATTTAAACATGTATTGTGTTCATCCTTTTGGTAGCCATTTTGAAGGGATGGGATGAAGGTCTATTTCACAAATATCAAATTTAGTGGCAGAGTGTTTTAAAAAACTAATTCTGAATCAGTAGTAAAGGGATTACAAACTAATACAATATTTAAACTGGTATATAATTATTACATCAATTTTAATCCGAGTTTGATATTTTAATCAGCCAGCATTCTGCAAGCCATGTCACTTTTAATATGTGCTGAGATGTACCAGGTTTCAAGGCTCCAGCACATCTGTGAACTTTATATAATTACACAACTTCAGAGCATGCCTAGTAGAGAATTAACATCTACAAGTCTGAGTGTTGTCAGCTTGCTTCAGAAAGCAAAGGTAAGTGCTCCCTGTTGATATATTGTTTGTCTGCATCTTTTCTCTAGTTAGCAACTTAACAACCGTGTTACTAACTTAACAACTGCAGTGATTCACTTAACAAGTGTGACAAGAAAGGTCATAAAATGGGGCAAAATTCACTTAACAACTGTTTTGCTTAGCAACAGAAATTTTGGGCTGAATTGTGGTCGTAAGTTGAGGATTACCTGTATAAACTTGATTCCAAGGGGAAAGGATAGTTGAAAATATATCCCTTTTTGATTATTAACAAAGTGATTTGTGGAAAGATGTCAATACTAATATTAATTTGAAGTTATTTTCATAATGCTACATTGTTTCCCATGCAAAGTACAGTGTGAACTGCTAATACTTTATCTGAATTGAGACAACAACAGTTATCCACAAGTGACTTTCTGTCATGTATTCACTTATTCATTTTGCTTAACAATCTTGTCATTGGAACTGAACTCAATCACTAAATGAGGAGTGGGTGTAGACTTTTCACCAGTTTTAGGCAACTTTAGAAATATGAACCTGTTTCTCTAGATATTTACTATAGTCACAAAATGCAGCATATATAGACATAGATTGGTTATCCATTACGTTGTCTGACTCTAGAGGGCAGTGCTCATCTCCATTTCTTAGCGAGGGAGCTAGCATTGTCCAAAGACATGTGGTCATGTGGCTGGCATGACTGTACACCAAAACACATGAAAAGCTGCTACCTTCCCACTGAAGTAGTACATATTTATCTACTCACATTTGCATGCTTTCAAACTGCTAAGTAGCCAGGAGCGGGGCAAGAATAGGAGATCATCCCGTCACATAGTATTTGGGTCTCCAACCAAGTACATATTCTGGTCGACAGCCCAGTATCTTAACCGTTAGACCACCATTATCTTTCTACAAATTAAAGATTTGTTCTAGTTACTGTATTTGACCCAAACTCCTTGCTTTAGTACCAATACTCCTTTGTTTTTACATCTTTTTTCCAGTTTCATAACTCAGATTGTCTTTCAAATTGGCTGCTTCATTTTATTGCTTCTAATTACTTAATCTTCAGTCAGAAACCTGAGTTTGAAGATCTTTCAGGTAACTGACAACTTGTTTTCTAAATAATTTGATGCTATTTAAAGAGACAAATTATGTTGTTTTCCATATCAAATAGATGTATAAATTGAGATTCTTTTAGCAAGAGAGTAGGATTCTGTCTTGCCATCAATTTTAAATCAAGTGGAAACTGTCTTTCTACATTTAATTAAGTCCTAATCCTTAAGAAAGGAGGCTTGCTCTGCAAATACTGCATGGAAACAATTTCTTGGATACTTAAGATTTACAGATCTTTCCAAAACTGTCAAAGGTTGCAGGGGAGATTCCAAAAAGCTTGGGAAGTGAGAGAATGACTTGGAGGGATTAAAGAAACCCAGGCCTAAAACAATGGTCACTTATGCCCTAGACATCTCATGATTGGACTATTGCAACACATTCTTCATGGAGCTTCCCTTGAGACCATCTGGAAGCTACAGCTGGTTCAAAAGGCAGTGGCACAAGCAATATTGGACACTAATATAATAATAGTAATAATTTATTAAATATGTATGCCGCCTGCCTCCCATGCCCATGCGTCATAGGTGGTACATGAGCTGGTTACCAATCAGCTTCTCGGTGTATTTCAAGGTGTTAATCATTACCTATAAAAGCCCTTGATTATTTGCAGCATCACCTGTCTCAGATTGTTTTTACCCATCCCAATACCATCAGGCTTGGTGGGTGCACTCCAGGTCCCTTCAGTTAAATGTTGTCATCTTGTCAGACTGAGGAAGGATCAGTCATACTTTGATAAGATAAACAACACAGATTTCTGGCTTATAAAAAAAAACAATCCTAGACTTAAAGAATTATTAGGCTGGATAAGCAGCCTTCTAGTACTAAAAAGATATACAATCATTTCCTTTTTTTCTTCAGTGGAAGAACGCAATTTCATAGAGATGCACAGATGGCCTTCTAGTATGTACCTGAGACAGCTTGCAGAATACAGGAACTACATTCATTCTCGGAAATGTCATTGTCTAATAATGTAAAAAATGATCTTTATTTATGAATGATTGAAAGCTGTGCTTCAGAAATCTTAAAAATGAAATTTGATATTTAGCTTAAATATTGCACTTGCTAATGAATAACTACTGTACTGTTTAAAAGCATGTGAAACATATTGTAACATATGCATTTACTAAGATGAATTTCAGTTGTATTGTTAGGTCTGATTCTATACTGTCAAGTTTTTTAGAAGAATATGTACTAATTTGAAATATTTGTTAGCCTATTATGTATCTAGGATTCCAGGAGCTTGAAGGAGAAATTCTGCATCCATTAGTCACTTTTTTTAGCTATTTCTTTTGAATATTTTAGTAAGTTATTTATGAGCTTTTAGAAATTTTATATTTTGTAAAAACACAGAGCTTGTAAAAAGAACATTCTATTTTGGAATTAAAAATGTACCTCCTCCCAATCTGCATCAAATTTCTAGAAAAAAAAATCTCAGAAAATTATTTAACTTTCCCCCTCAATGAGGAATCTAGTATAGTGAAAGAGGCCTTTATGGTTTTTCTACATACTGTAAAACAAAATTAGGTATGAAAAATATTTTGGTTTCTTTCCTGTATAATTGCATATATAGAAGTCTTTTCTTAAGTTTTTTCTTGTCCCATTTACAATATTCTGACAATAACAATTTTAAATTCTTCCCATCAAGTAGAAAATAATTTAACAATCATTTCACAATTTTGAAAAGAATATTATTCCTAAAAAGGTGTGTGTGAATTCAAACAGTGGCCTCTGTGTATTTGTATTTATTTAATTCATCCCTGAAAGCTATGCTATAGTTTGTTTCCTACATTTAGTATGTGAGAGGCTAAGGAAAAAAGAAGGAAATACTAAATTTACTTATTTTGATCATATGGATCCCAGACTTTTTATGCTCTTGGGGCATAAGCACACAAATCCACTGATTTCTATAATTCCCTTCTCATTTCACTAAAGAATTCAACTGGGGTTTGTGGTGCATGTCCACTTTTCCCAGACATATTTTATCCATTAAGGCATTCCTGTCAATTTTTCCAGATAGGTGTGCACTGATCTGGCCAGGTTTCTGAGAATTTCGTATCTTCCTAGAAAGCAGGAAGTATCTCCCATTTTTGCGTAGGTGCACATTATTACTAAAATTGTAGTATTTTCTATCTTTACATGTGGTTAAGTAAATGTTTTACAACCCACATGGACCTGCAGAGACCTCCACATTGTATTCTCCATATGTACAAAGGTGGTATTAGCATGTTCCAATGTTAATTGAAGCAACATTTGAATCAGGAACTATCTGACCCATAGCACACACTTTCAGAGACAATGCACTATTTTACCCACATATATTACAATGGCTCTTATAAATAATGTTTTATATAATGTTTTGTATTTTTTTTTAAAATGTCAAGTAGAATACTACAAACTAATTTATTTCTACTAGTGGAATTTTTATTAAGGAAACTTAAAAACATTTTCAGCATTTTTGTACGAGTGTATGTTCCATGGAAATAGATACATTAACATCAGTTTATAACCCGTTCCTTTGCTTTAAGTTAAAAATGGTAATACAGTATATATTTTTTATAAATCAGTACAATAAAAATGAACATTCCCATATAAAATGCCTATTTTTTAAGTAAGTGGGCACAGTATTGTGTACTAAAACCACAATAAATCATAAACAAATATGGTATTTAATTAGTGATTTTATCTAGGCATAATTTTTCAAATGACTCAACTGTTTTAAGATTATGATTTAGTGTAAATGTTCCTTTTATCTGAAAGTTGATAAGTGTATACAAATAATTATGACTTACATTTCATCCTCAAAATATTAACATTCCAATGCAGCAAAGTAGACAAAGGTAATTATAGATGATAGTATGAAGCAGAAATATTAATTTTTCTGCAACTTAGAAAAATGAGAATGCTGTTAGAAACCTAGTGTATAGGGACAGAATGGGAAACCACATATGGAGTACTTTATGTTCATGAATTCTTACACAGATAGGAATACTGTATTGTTGAACATCTTTGAATTCACCTGCAGATATGCATAGCAACTAGTAACCTGCAAATCCTTGGATGCCATGTTTTGCAAAATAGCTCATAAAAATGACAGCATTCATAGTTTGTTCGGGATGCACATGCACTGCACTATAATCTCTTCTCAGATTATGACAGCTATACATAGTCCTTCAGATTCATAGGATTAAGTTGTATACTATATTTCTTAAACTTTTTAATGGACAGTTATGTCTATTGTGAAAGATAATCTGCAGTGGCTTCTAAATTTCTGATAGCATTATATTTATTAATACCCAAGAAATGATAAGTAGTAATCTATAGACATCACATATTGAATGCATTACTTTAAAATCTATTTTTATAAGAAAAGTATTTCTATTTGCACACTGTTACTGTTTTTTAATGAATAAATGTCAATATCAAGCATGGAAGTTTATAGAGATGCAACCCTAAAATTGCAGTTAAAATGTTTGTTGAAATTTATCACATGAATGATTGTGGCTTCGCTGCAAAAAAAGCCCCTTTATTTTGGCATGTGTTGGGTATGTAATAATTTTACAGGTTAACAGGTTCTTAAATTCACAATATTTAATTATGCTATTTAATTCCTTGTAGTATGACATTTTTATTAAGTGCTTATTTCATGTGACGATCCATTAAAAACTGCAGTCCAAACACTTTTTAAGCTGTCTGTATTTGATTTCATCTTAGCATTTAAAGTAAAAAAGTTATCATGCACTGTATATGCTTATTTATAAGTATTTGATTGGCATGCAAAAGTGCAGATTTTGACTAGGAAGAGGTATGTCATAATGTGCAGAAAAGTGAATGCAGCGCCTGGCTGGAAACAGACACAGCAATCTTTCTGAAGCACTGTGCAGCCTTATATTTCCCTTTTTCAATGCCTTGAAGCCAGTGTTGATTCCTGATCACTGCCTGGACAAGTCCCTGCAGTATTCCTCAGGAAGAGTTCAGAAGTAGCTTACCTTGGGCTAAAAGAGAATGAGAGCTGTGTTAAAATGAGAGCTGTGTCTTAAAAAAATAAAATTCAGCCAATCCTGATATTGCTTTCAGTTAAAATGATTTAGGGATTTGGTGAACTATTCTGTCCAGTGATATTAAAAGACCTCAAAACTTGGACTTCCAGTTTGTCATCGCAGTGCTGGCGGCCGCATGGAGGCGAGCTCCCTCTCCAGCATCTGGTTTTATCCCGCTGAGGGACCCTGGAAAGTGTCAAAAGTCGCCCTGTAGGGGCAACAAGCAGGGAGAGGACCCCCACTTGATTGCAGAAGGGCAGCAGCTCTTCCACTTGATCTGAGGCAGCTCTTCAAACTGATGGGGGAAAGACTGGCCATAGCAATATGGCTCGTCACTAAGCTGCTGACAGCCGAAGTCAAACTTACTACCAAGCACTTTGAAAGCAACGTGGATGAAACTGGGTGAGATCTTATCTTCTCTTTACCCTAAGTACCTTCTCTTCTTGTAAAAGCTCTTTGAAGTATCTTCCCCCTGTGAGGAAAGAGGGAAGGGAATTTCTATCCCACCCTCTAAGAATAGTGGCGTCTGACTACCCAGGGGAACCAAAGCATTAAAAAGAACAATTTTAATCTAATTGGATTTATATGTTCCTGAAACTTGGTGACCAAAATTTTTCCTATTTTTACTGGAGACTCTTGTTTTTATCTACAAAAAAGAAATAAAATTGGAAAAAATTAGAAAAATTTGGGACTTAAAAAACCTTAAATGGCACCTGTGACATCTGGTGGTGAAGCTTGGTATGGCAATTTGCTATTTCCTAAAAAGAAACTTGGGTCAAAGCCCAGACTTTCCTGACCTTGGCACTATCTGTGAGAGACTCAACTGTAAGAGAACAGCTGGGCAGTAAAATTGGCCTACTTGAACTGTGGATGTAAACCTTTGCTGACTTTTGCTTAACAGACAACTTTTACTAGAAAGACTATTTACAAATACGTGAAAGAGATGGATGAAGACCAGGAAAAGATTCTTTCCATGTTGAAAGCAATACATGAAACTATTCTTTCAGCTTGTGATAAAATGAGATCTAAAATAAAAGATCAAGACGCCAGCTTAAATGCACAAAGCCAAATTTTGACTACAATGCAGACGATAACAGAAGAAGTGGAACAATCAAATATTAAGACAGAGGACTTAATTGACCAACAAGTACAGCTGATCGAAAATCCAGACAAGGAAGTGACAACACTGAAAATGGAAATGACTTTCTATATAAATCAGAAGAAATTTGAGGAGGAAGAACAGATTGAAGTGAAGACAAATATATCAGAGCAAACATGAGGGAATGGAATAACAGGGCAACAATTTAACGAATACAAATGGGCTAGTCCTTCCAGAAAACTGGCAATCAATCTCTTTTACTTCAAATAACATATATAAGAATAGAGGGAGATTTATTTGATGATCTAAAAGCGCTGATATGGAAGCCTAGTTGGCAAAGGAAGAAAGCTAGAATAAGGTTGAAAAAAATGGGGGTTTGATTCATTAGAGGGGATTTTATATTGTCAATTAGAGGGTTAAAGGGAGATGTTGAGATAAGGGGAATTTTGGTTATTAGATTTAAAATAGTTGGAAATCAGTTGAAAATAAGGATGCAATTTGTTTAATATTGAAAAACTAGGTCTAAAAGGGAAAAGAAAATTATCATGAATATGTTTGATTTATTGATTAACCCAGGCAATATATATAATGATTTTGATTTATTAAAGTGGATATTGTATTATTAAGTAGATGATTTAATATAGTGGGAAACAGATAACTTTTAGGAAATAGAACAAGATTACATTTAAATAAATAAAATGTGTATTTTGGATATTATAGTTTGTTATGAAGTGAAATAAGGGAAATATTGGTTACCCAAAGTCTGAAAATTATGGATATCAAAGGTTAAATTGGAATATTGACGAGAAATTAAAAATTATGTAAAATTAATAACAGGATATGGATTGTTTATGACTATTGAATGTAATTAAGATATGTATAAGCTAAAACTTTATTGATAAATGTAATAATGATGTTTTAATTGAGTTGATATAATTAGAAATGTACTAGCTTGAATACGAGATAGTAAATGTTAAGGGAAAAAGAGAA